TCGTTCAGTCCAGAAAGACACAGTAAAGAAGTTAGGAGTCGGACACTAAACTGCACTAAAGTCTCTAATGAAGCCAGCAAAGGAAAATAAATCCGCTCATCCAGCCATCTCACCGACTGCATCCATTGAAAGCAGCCGGCGGCTCCGCGAGTAAAATCAGCTGATGAAAGTGTAAATGAAAAAAGCATCAGATTGCTCTGATGGAACGCAGTGATCGATCAGTGACGAGTGATGTGACTTGCATAAATCAAATGTTGCCTATGCAGTAGGCTAGTGTTAAAGGATATCAGAAGAGAAATAAACTGAAAGCCTAAAACTGAGCATCGACTTAGAGTAACGTCATTTCAGTTTCTCTTAAACCTTTAGCCTAATAAATCGCAAGACATTATATTCTGGGTTATTCAATAAAGAATTCACAACCAGAATCAACAAAAATAAATGCAGATAATGAGTATTGTGCCAGTAGAAATGATCCTCTGAGCAGGACACAGAAACCTGTAATTCTTCATGTGCAGGTGTTTGTTAAACAGCTGCAGAGAGAATCTGATGCTCTGATAACTGAGACTTTCTTAGTAACAGAACAGCGCACGTGTGCAGACACAAACTCCATCAAGTCTCTACAGGGACCCTGATGACCAAGGTACGTTTGTTTTTTTGGTATAATTAACAGGCAGAAACCAGAAACAAAGTGAAAAAACAACAAACAACTGAATTCAGCACAGTGTCTCCTTTTTCATTCTTACTGACAAAACAAATGCATTCCTCAATATTTCCTTTCATTGGTGGGTGGGACTTCATCAACCCTTTGCTTCTGATTGGACAGTGTGCTCTATCAGTTCTGTCTGTGCTTCAGGCTACTCTTCAAAATTAAGGTTCTACCAAAGAATTACTGCTGTGGTTCTCTCTCTTTGCCTTAAGACGATGCAATGTCTACACAAAATTATGCACTTATTAGCGACATAATGCAATAAATCCGCCTTCATGATTAAGAGTATAACAGTTTATGAGAGGTGGCGATTGAGCTGTTTGATCAGTTTGGAGCATGTAGTTTGTGGTGATTCAAATGTAATGAATTAAACAAAGGTGATTCTGTTATTTAGTCTAGCCTCACAGATTAAGGCTCATTTTATTAAATACTGTGTTCCTAATATTATAAAGATCGACGGCATCGAACCAACAGCAAGCACACGAGAATGATTTACAGAACATGAGCAGCAGGTGTCGCCCTGCAGCTCCCTCAGCTGTGATCGCCTGGAGCCTCTGGAGAAACCAGAACTCCACTGAGTTCATCCTGCTGTGTTTAAAGACTCATCACACCTGATATGGTCTAGTTAGGCTTAGTTTTTTACTCAAGACTGCCAACATTTGAACAAATGAGAACGAGGATTTGCACCTTTGCAGTCATAGATTACCATTTAGCACAATTAGCCTCAATCCATCCATACTGATGTGATTTTGAAAAATAGCCTTGGTGTCAAATGCCAGCCAGTAAGACTAAATAACCAGATCATATTTTATTATTAAGCTTAGTTCTGGTTTCACCGCTTTTGCAATTAAAACGGCTTCTGTCTAAGGCAGAGGGTCGATGGCACACCAACTCTAATTAATGTAAATAATGTAATGTAATAATTCTAATAATTGGAGCCTATTAGCCTACGTCGTCGTAAGTGACTACACACATTTGTGTTTATTAAACTTGTACCTTGGTTGAATAAGTTGATGATAAATTGTTTATGATATGTGCCTTGATTTGGAACCAGGTGCGATCAAAAAGTTCCCAGGAGTCCCGTTATTTAAACTGTTCAAACACCATCTGTAAAATGTGCCGTGATCAAATATCTCCTCCGCTGTGCCACAACTGGTGAAGAGGAAGAAGTCACAGGCCCCCATTTTATCGATTTAAGCGCGTGGCGTGAAGCCTGTGGCATGTTTTGGGAGCAACATGCAACAAACCAATCAGATTGTCAACTCCCATTCCCTTTAAAAGCCAGGTGCTCTTTCACGCATTGCTATCACAATAGCGGATGAATGGCACATTATAAAAAGCATCGGCTGACTGATTGAACAGCAGACTCACAGCAGAGGGGGGATATGGACAAAAACTGTCTCATGAAGGCTGATGTTCCTCTGCAGCTCTGTGCTTTATCAGTGAAGCAGGCTGGAGTCTGTTAACAGACAGATGCTGTCTCCTCTATGAAACATCTGGATCCTCACTGCGCTGCATTATTAGAAACCGGTCGCAGGTCACATGTCTCTTTGCAGTGGTTTAACTATTTTCTGTTTTATTGCAGTATGAGTGTTTTATTTAATGATTTACTTTCAAGATTAAAGAGGCTGCTGTCAGTCATGCTGTCAACGTTTCCATGTGCGCACTAAAGTCACTACAAATATCGTGGGGCATTAAAGAAGCAAAATAATAATAACAAATAAAACCCAGGTGGCATTTTAACATCGAGTCACTGTTGAATCAACCTCAGGTGCCAGTGTTGGATAACCATTGAATTTTAAAAATCCAAATCCTGCTTTTCAACATAGTTTATTTTGTTAAACTGTTTTCACTAAAGTATTGATGTGTTCACCAAACACCTTGAAATGGATACATAAACACTAAGTTTGTGGACACACACAGTCAACTAGGAAGAAGCCAATTGGTCAAAGCAAGACCAGGAAGAATAAACATTAATAAACATTTCACTGAGAAACATGCTTTATTACATGGCTGCAAGTGTGCCAACATTCACACAACATAATTTTACACGTGTCGAATTTTAACCTTTATAAAACCGGCCCAAACATTGAGCAACATTGAACATGGCTGGTTAAATCTTCCCTTCTTGTTACTTCTTTCTGCAAACGCCACATCCTCTGGTGCATATTTCAAGTATTTGGCCATGTATTCGTCTACTTTTGTTGTAGTTGTATCAAATGAGCTCAAGACAGCGTCTGATGAGGGAAAAAAATAATAAAACAGATCACTACTAGCAAACGCTAACCTCTCAAATTAAAATATTCTGCAGATATCAACTTTTGTGGCATTGCCAATGTTTCAAGTATATAAATTAGTATTTCTCAAGGTCATTGATAATCATGTGCTTGGGCGAGCAACAAAAGCCAGTTGGTAGTAACCAGTGCTGCATCCTCATTCTTGTCCTCCAGGCGATTCTCTAAAGTAGTGTTTCTCGACGGGGCCCAGGGGGCGTTCCGAGGACGATGGGGGGCGCTGGAACCAATATTTTGGAAGGGGGGGGGGTGTTTGTTGTTTGGAAGGCACACTTACACTTAAGATTCACAACAATACGAGTTTAAACTTTAAACTACTTGCAAAAAACTGTGTTCTGCAACATTAAAACCTGCCAGTTTAGTCCACTGTCCCTGTCCTGTGTGCTGTGTTTTCGGGTTTTCTTTCTGAGGGTTTGGGTTTGTAGTGACTATTTAGTCTGTGTTTCAGTTCCATGTCTTAGTTCCCAGTCTGGTATTTATGTCGTAGTATTTACTCCTTGTCCTTGTACTTCTGTGTTGTGTTTTTTTATGTAGTCTGTCTGTGTTTTGGGTTTCAGTCATGTCTGGTGTCTAGTTTACTCTGTGTGTTTGTGCAGGTGTGTCTGGTTTTGTGGTTATCCACATCTTTAAGTTACTTAGTATCTGTCTTGTCTCGTATCTTAGTTCTTAGTCCTGTACCTTAGTTTATGTGTTAAGTGTTCACTCCCGGTCTGTGTGCTTCTGCGTTTTGCCTCTGTCTATCTGAGTTCTGTTTTATCATTGCTTCAGTCTGTGTTCCTTGTTGTTCATGAATGGTGTTTTGCATTAAAACCCTTGAACTGTACCTGTCAGCCTTGAGTCCTGCATTTGGGTCCACCAACCTGCCTCACCACACACATCCTGACACTGACTGGACGAGACTGTGGATTTTTTTCTTGTGGTGCAGCTTCGTGCTGCCTTCACGGGAAGTCGGAGTATCGTCTCTAAAATTTTACCCACATGGCGTTTACTGTGTAAACTCTGGAAAACTGACGCTGTCTTTCTTGGTGGAAAAGTGTCTCGTTATCTCAGTGGTTCCACATTTCTAAGAGGGATATTCTGCCCTCGGATCACCCTGAAAGAAACTTGGCTGCGACGCCAGCGAGTGACGTGGACCCGCCTCGCGCTGTGAGTCGCAGACAGTTTGTGCCAAAGCGGACATATACTGTAGTTTCAGTAGGCTATAAAATGTAACGTTAGAAACTGAAGCCCTGTCTCGCTCTGTTGGGGATTGTAAGCGGCGCTTTATCAGAGGAGCTGAAGTTAACGTGTGTGTTTTTGTTCCTGAGCTTTCTGTCTGATCACAGGTGTCGGTTAGTTTCGTTTCCCGCCGACATGAGCGCCTCCTCGTCTCATTCGGGTTTGTCTGTTAGACGGAGGGGAAACTTCCAGCGAGTAAAATATTCTGAATTCTCTTTAAATAGGCTAATGATTAATTTATTACTGAGATGAACAAACACATTTAAATAGGTTACTTCCACTCAAAAGAGGAGGTGAGACTTAATCATGTGTGTTGACTCAGCAGGGATGATATTAAATAAGTTGATCTACAGGAGAAAAATATTTCAAAGCAATAAGAATGCCTGAGAGCCTCACTACATTATATTCTATTATATTATATATAATATTATATATTGAATTGTTACCTTACACCTGAATTTTTAGACATTTCCTCCATAAATAGGTGCAGAAAAGGAAATTGGAGGAGAAATTTTCACCAGAACGCAGCAAATTAAGTGTTTAATGCTCAAAATCTTCTGGGGGAGGACCCCATACCCCCAGCTTCAGTATCTGGCTTCAGAGAGTTTCTGGGAGGAACATTCACTTATTAGATAAATATAATTACTTTGCATGTGGCTTTTTTTCTTTTACCTTTTCCTTGTTTTTAATAACAATAGTAACAATAAAAAAATCAACAATATTCAGGGCAAATAGCAAACATCTTTATTGATGGGGGGCGGTAAGGGACCTAGATAATGGATAGGGGGGCGATGGCCCAAAACAGGTTGAGAACCACTGCTTTAAAGCTTCGAGCTCTTCTTCAGTGTTTGCCGGCTTCACTTCATAACTTGTTCCAGCAGCGTGAATTGTATCCTTGATTTCGCCAAGGAGCTGAAGAATTCTAGCCAAAAAAGAAGCGACTGATAATTATTTTTATAATGTAGTGAGTACGCTCTACACCACAAAATCATAGTGTTTTCATTTGCCAAATAAAAATGCACTGCAAAAACTCAAAATTTTACCAAGAATATAGAATAATTTCTAGTCTGGTCTATATCTAATTTCTATTCCAAATAAATGTCATACACTAAAAATAAGACACCTAAAAAGTAACTTGTATTTAGACTATTTTCATTTGTTTCACGCAAATGCTAGGGACACTGGAAGACTCCTAATTATTTGTCAGCAAAAATAAGAGAATAAAATTACTTTTTTCAGACATCCTTCCTCAATTTGTTTGAGTGTGCATGCGTCGACATCGCTTTGGCTGTATTTGGGGGACCTCTTTCAGCTCTCATAGACTTCTCAGGAGGCTGCCTAAGGCTGCGGTCGATAATCGTTCTTGGGGTGTCACTGATGGAGAAAATGGGTTGCATACTATGCAACCCACAAAGGTCATGTACAAGCACACCCAAGACAGATAAAGGTATCTTAAAGAGCTCCAGCATTTTTTTCCCATATGCCAGAATATGTTCCTAACAACACCCTCACCTCTTACTGCTCCTTGAGGAACTCCGCCTCCGTTTCTGTAAAATTGACTTGAACAGACTCCTTCAGCTACGGCTAAATTATATGGTTAAAAAAAAAACATAAGTTAAAAAGGACATTGCTATGAACATTATTGCAATTGAAGTCTAATTCTCAAATTAGTGGGAATGATCATTTTGCATTGCAGTTTTTATTAAAAAAAAAAAATCTATATATAAATATATCTCATGTGACATTTGTTGAGGTCTGTGCCAAACATTTTCTTACATCTGAAAGATGTGTAGTTCAGACTGCAGCTTTACAGTGCTTCATTTATACTGACAATATTGTAATTTTGATCATATTTAAATTAAATACCTCCGTCCATGAGTGGAAGACCCTGAGGAACCCTCACGCTGTCTCTGAGAAAGGGATCTGGACAGACTCTCTTGGCAAGGGCTGAATGATCTGGTTTAAAAAAATAAAATAAAGAATTTTCTACAGCAGGTATTGCAAATGAAGTACAATTCAAAGTAGTGGGAATGATCATTTTGGGATCAATTTCTATTTTTACTGGGTCAGTACATCAAACATTTTTTTTACATCTGGAATGGCTAAAGCACTTTGTCCAGTGTAATTGAGATGTCCATACCAAATAAAATCTAATGATAACAATAACATAAAACAGTGCTTTATTTATATTGGCAATATTGCACTTTTGATCATATTTAAATTAAATGACTTCGACCATTAGAAAGAGACTCAGGGGAACTCCTGCTACCACTGTGTGCCAAGGATTGAGATTGAGGGCTTGAGGGGATGTCCATTTGGGTTCTTTCTGCATTTTTAGAGGGTTTAGACACTGGGAAGGGTTAATAGGTCAATAATTCAAAATTACTTTACACATATTTGGTTAGTCACCCCCGTCTTCATATGACATGATTGTGTGACATGACCCACCACCAAGTTGTCACTGCCTTCTTTTGGTGTGGCATACCTCAGAATGAACCAGTGTTCAAAAACAAAAAGCATCCATTGTGGCTCCAACAAAGACTATTATGTTATTACAAACTCTAAAAATACAATGAAAGCAAAACAGGTACATTTGACCACCGCACACTGAAAAACTTTACTGAATCTTTGTTCTGCGTGAGCAACAATCAGAGGGGGCTACAGGTGAAACGTGTTTTTCAGCATGCGGTGGTCTGTTTCACTGTTTTACTTTAAATGTTCTTGCTACCAACCTGCACCTGACGATCACACTGGCTGTGCACAAGGAGATCCTTTTGTTGGTTTACAGTTTTCTTTAGGCTATTTGTTTTCTCATTTCCCACTTCTGTTTTGTGCATGCACAGTGGATAATCTCCAACTGCATGGAACAAGCCTACACAGCAGTGTCCCTCAGTGGAAAGACTGTAAGGGCCGAAACTGCTTGCTCCTCCCTCTCCCTACCTTCTTCCACTGCGTCTGCATGTTCATGCGAAGGGTCTGCCACACTGAGTGCCATCTGAAACCAGTGAGGGCGGAGTGGTAGTGAGATGCCGAGTGAGCACCGATGTTGGCTTGTTGAAGGTGTGTCTTTCAATTTGCGTTCGCCGGTTAACATGTGTTAACTACACTAACATTGTCACGTGACCATTCACAGGTTAACAAAGTAGCCCGTATGATTTATATTGAAATGTTGTATTTGTGAATATAACATTTTCATATAGGCTCAGTTAAAGAGGTTCAATATATAAGCTTTTCTTTACATTGAATATCAAACTTTTCATAAAAGAATATAAAATTTATTTTCGTAAATATCTAAAGTCATGTTCTTAAAGAAATATTCGACACAAACACAAAATGAATGAGATCAATCTATCTGTGTTCTCTTACATTTGCAGAATGATATTTGGAGAAAAAATGAGAAATGATAATGAGAAAAGTAGTCCATTGGTCCCCATTGTACTAAGGGATGTGAAACAGTGCAAACACAGATTAGCGGGCTTCGTTGGTTGTTGTTTAAATTCATTTCGTTACGTCATTGTTTCATTGGCTTAAATTTGTAGGTGGGTGGGCGTCAGGGAGTAGGAGTCGAGAGAAAAGGAGGGGAGTGAGTGTAGCCTCTCGCAATAAACACAGAAAGAATATCTCCCAATTTGCTGCATTCGCACATTCATACTGAACAAACTGTGATGGCCTGCACCTTTCAGTTGCACCGCCAGAGCCCGCCCAGTTCAGGAAGTGATAAAATGTTTGGTGTGTGTCTGGGAGCGAGCGGCAGTTGATCACAGAGGAGAGCTGAGGGAAGCAAGAGAGCGTCGGAGCGACACGTTAGATGTCGCTCCAACATCCCCCCCGCATTGACCTACAGCAACGATCCGTACGTCGGCACCTTCTTCATCCGCAACTCAGTAATAACCTCTAAACAACCAGCCATCCATATATTCCAAAACCATCGCCACCAAACCGGTCCAGCATCCACTAACAGTCAAGCAGGTCGTAAGTGCTTCCAACCGCCCCACCTTCAAATTTTGAGCAGTGTGTGGTTTTTTTTCCTCTTTCATGTTGGATTAACATTTGATTTGAGGAACGGAGCAGTCTTTATTTGAGGGGCATTTTTTCTTCTTCTCTGAGAACTGAACTGCTTTGAATTGAACTGAACCCTGATGGGAAATTTGAGTTGTGTTTATTGATTTGTGGTACGCTTTTATTAACATCCATTGCCTTTGTTGAATTTTATAATTGAGTTGTGGTTTTCATTATTATTCACTGGTTATACTCAACGTGAGGGTCCATAACAGCGTATATATATCCTTTGTGGCACTCGATGGGTAAAAAATATTATTCTGTATAAAATCATAAAAAATCTTACGTGCCAGGAGAGAAACCTCACTGGCACCCCAAAAGAAACCCGTAAGTCAAACTTGTCACATAAAAATGATATTGGTCCCATCTGGGGTAAAAAAAAAACAAAAAAACTCCTCCCCCGATGGAGAAAGAAAAAAACAAAACTCTGGCAGATTTTATCTCATTTTCTAATCTAGGAACAGTGTTCAATTTACTTTTACTTTACTTTTTTCTTTTTATATTACTATCTTCCTCCATACTTGAGACAGAGAACCCAGAGAAATCCTCCTCATGGCTTTTCTTCAAATATTTATATCCTTTTACGTTGTTCTCTGTCCACTTCCTCAGCTGTGGGATAGCATGGTTTTAGTCGGGCCACGTTAACAATACGTAGATCTTCTCCACTGCTCTCCCGACTACCTCATAGTTTAATTCAATTCAATTCAATTCAATTTTATTTATATAGCGCCAAATCACAACAACAGTTATCTCACAGCGCTTTTCATAAAAGAGCAGGTCTAGACCGTACTCTGTGATGATATTTACAGAAGCCCAACAGTTCCCACCAAGAGCAAGCACTAGGCGACAGAGGCAAGGAAAAACTTCCTTTTAAGAGGCAGAAACCTCGAGCAGAACCATGGCTCAGGGTGGGCGGCCATCTGCCTCGACCGGTTGGGGTGAGAGAGAGAGAGAGAGAGAAAGAGAGAGAGAAGAGAGTGAAAGAGAGAGAGAGAGAAAGAGAGAGAGAGAGAGAGAGGGATGTAAGGAGAGAGAGAGGGGAGGGAGGCAGCCTACACAATATACACACAGAGGTACAGACAGCGAAGGTAATGTTGCTATAAACTAAATGAAAAATGGTACAGATATTTATAATAGTGTTAATGGTAACCATCATAATGTTAATGATTATAATAACAATAATAACAATAAGACTAGCAACAATAGTCGTTGCAGTAGAGGGTGTCGAGCAGGAACACGGGGGCAGCAGGTGACCCGCAGCCACAGATCCAGACTCCACAGCTCCAGAGCCAGAAAACCTGCAGGAAGTGATAGGAGGAGAGAGGAGAGGGACGAGAAAGCACAAGACTACCAGAAAGGGGAGAAGTTGTGTTAGTAACATGCAATAATGGGATAAGGTTGCATACAGAGGGAGAGAAAGTAGAGGAGAGAGGAGCTCAGTGCATCATGGGAAATCCCCCGGCAGTCTAGGCCTATAGCAGCATAACTAAGGGATGGTTCAGGACTCACCTGAGCCAGCCCTAACTATAAGCTTTATCAAAGAGGAAAGTCTTAAGCCTACTCTTAAATGTGGAGATGGTGTCTGCCTCCTGAACCCAAACTGGAACCTGGTTCCACAGGAGAGGAGCTTGATAGCTGAACGCTCTGGCTCCTAGTCTACTTTTGGAGACTCTAGGAACCACAAGTAACCCTGCATTCTGGGAGCGCAGTGCTCTGGTGGGGTAGTAAGGTACTATGAGCTCTTTAAGATAAGATGGTGCCTGACCATTAAGAGCTTTGTAGGTAAGAAGAATGATTTTAAATTCTATTCTGGATTTTACTGGAAGCCAATGCAAAGAAGCTAAAACAGGAGAAATGTGATCTCTTTTCCTGGTTCCTGTCAGAACACGTGCTGCAGCATTCTGGATCAGCTGAAGAGTCTTAATGGACTTTTTCAAGCAGCCTGATAATAAGGAATTGCAGTAATCCAGCCTAGAAGTAACAAATGCATGGACTAGTTTTTCTGCATCATTTTTAGACAGGATGTTCCTGATTTTCGCAATATTACGTAGGTGAAAAAAGGCGGTCCTTGAAATTTGCTTAATGTGGGACTTAAACGACATGTCCTGATCAAAGATAACTCCAAGATTCCTCACAGTGGTGCTGGAGGCCAAGGTGATGCCATCCAGGGAAACTAATGCGTCACGGAGGTGCTTAGGCCCCAGAGCAATAACTTCAGTTTTATCTGAGTATAACATAAGAAAATTACAGCTCATCCAGGTTTTAACATCCTGAAGGCACATTTGAAGTTTAGCTAACTGATGAGTTTCATCTGGCTTGATCGATAGATATAACTGAGTATCATCTGCATAACAATGAAAGCTTATGGAATGTTTCCTGATAATATTGCCTAAAGGAAGCATATATAAAGTGAAGAGGATTGGTCCAAGGACAGATCCTTGAGGAACTCCATGAGTAACTTTGGCGTGCATGGAGGACTCATCGTTAACATGTACAAACTGAAATCGATCTGATAAATAGGACTTAAACCAGCTTAGAGCGGTTCCTTTAATGCCAATGAAATATTCCAGTCTCTGCAATAGGATCTGATGGTCAATGGTATCAAATGCAGCACTAAGATCTAATAAAACCAGTACAGAGACAAGTCCTTTGTCTGATGCAATAAGGAGGTCATTAGTAATTTTCACCAGTGCTGTCTCTGTGCTATGATGAGCTCTAAATCCTGACTGAAAATCCTCAAATAAACTATTGCTCTGTAGAAAGTCACACAGCTGTTTAGCAACTGCTTTCTCCAGAACCTTAGAGAGAAATGGAAGGTTAGATATAGGTCTATAGTTTGATAAAACATCCGGATCAAGTTTGGACTTTTTCAGAAGAGGTTTAATTACAGCTACTTTAAAGTACTGTGGTACATAGCCTGTTGATAAAGATAGATTGATCATATCTAGTATAGAGGTGCTGACTAAGGGTAAAACATCTTTAAGCAGCCTAGTCGGGATGGGGTCTAAGAGGCAGGTTGATGGTTTAGATGAAGAAATTATTGAAGTTAGTTGGTAAAGATTGAGGGAAGCAAAACAGTCTAAACATGTATCTGGTTCTACAGCTGTTTCAAAGGTTCCTGAGTTAAGAGATAAGTCGGTGCCAATTGAGGGCAGGTCTTGGTGAATTTTGTCTCTAATAGCTAGAATTTTATCATTAAAGAAGCTCATGAAATCGTAACTACTGAGAGCTATGGGAATACTTGGCTCAATAGAGCTGTGACTCTCTGTCAGCCTGGCTACAGTGCTGAAAAGAAACCTGGGGTTGTTCCTATTTTCCTCTATTAATGACGAGTAGTACGCTGCTGGCATTACGGAGGGCCTTCCTATAAGTTTTAAGACTATCTTGCCAAATTAAACGAGAATTTTCCACTTTGGTGGAACGCCAATTCCTCTCAAGTTTCCGTGATATTTGCTTTAATTTGCGAGTTTCAGTATTATACCATGGAGCTAACCGTCTTTGTTTTAGTATTTTCTTTTTTAGAGGGGCAACAGAGTCGAGTGTCATTCGCAGCGAGCCTGCAGCACTATCAACAAGATGATCGATTTGGGAGGGACTGAAATTAGCATAGGAGTCCTCCGTTACTTTGTGACTAGATAATGTATTTAGAGCTGATGGAATCGCATCCTTAAATTTAGCTATAGCACTATCAGACAGACATCTTGTATAGAAATTTTTGCCCAATGGCGTGTAGTTCAGCAATACAAACTCAAAAGTTATCAAACAGTGGTCGGATAAAGAGGGATTCTGTGGGAACACCACTAAATGTTCAATTTCAATACCATACACCAAAACAAGGTCGAGGGTGTGGTTAAAACAGTGAGTCGGTTCATGAACACTCTGAGAGAAGCCAATGGAATCTAACAAAGAGATAAACGCAGTACTGAAGCTGTCATTCTCAACATC